TGCAGGTTCAAAAGTAATTTGGGTTAAAAATAAACTTAACAAAGATATCGACTAAAATTGTATAGCTGAAGATCAGTTCTTGTTTTATTACTTTTCACAAGTATATTAGGATTTAGGTATGCGATATTAATTAAGTTGCAGTAATTGATTTACCCTCGAAATTTGCCATAAAATTGCCACCCCAAAAAAAGTTCAACAGGATTTGACGGTACCGCAGCAGGTGGATTCAGATAAAGCAATTACGTTAACAGCGTACTGGTCTGTCTGGTACAGGTTATAGAATATAGATCTTTAGCCTGTAACGTAAGAACTAACAAGGTATTTATCGACTGTAACGTAAGAACTAACAAGGTATTTATCGACAATTTATGATATTGAAAAAAAAATTCCTGTATTTACTTCGAAAAAAATGGTCTCGAGAATTCTAATTGAAATTATCAAAGATCTCTCTCACTTCGATTGGTTGCAGATTCCGCGATAGGCCACCTGACTCATTAAGGAGCATCGTAATTCGTGATTAGAACAAATTATTGGACTTTCATACGTAAAGCTTATTGAAGAAAAAACTATTTATTGACTTGAAAATCTTGTTTTTGTATTTCTAGTTTCTGCGTATGATCAGGATACTATAAAGAGGGAATGAATCTTGCTCCCTTTAGTGTCTTGATATTATTCCGCTGTCTAACGCTTTTTAGTGCAGGTATTTTCCGGTGTATTTATCTTAATAATGTTTATTTACAATTTAATTGTGTTCTTGCCAATAGTCCGTGGCATTGAAAGCGAATATGGTAAATATTTGTGAACCCTCTTTTTCTATAAAAAATCATTTCAAACACAATTACATAAGAGTACCCAAAATAAACAAATAAATAAATAAAGTTAAAGTATTGTCACTGCAGTGAGTTACGAGATCACTCAACTGACAAGAGATGAACTTAATGGTGACGGAGGTCAAGACGGCTACTTCTTCACGATTATAGGAACTTTAGGGCGCACACGAGAGTTTCCTTGTACAGCCAACCGTGGTCTTGGTGCTAACAGCACTTGCTCTAATATAATAGAGGACAATGCTGACATTGGTGTATATACTGGCTTGAAGATAAGAAACGGTGCGAGTGACTCTTGGGCGTGCAAGAGGATCTACATGAAAATAAACGGGGAAGTCCAGAGGACAGCTAAGTGTGATACAGTAAATGATTACCAATATCTGATGGTTGAAGTCTCTGGTCGGGATAAGGTATGCTAAAACTTTGTTCACTTCAAACGGATCTGTAAGATTGAAAACAAATTCGGTTTCATTTTAATTACTGACTGGTAGGTCCAAAAGTAGATCCACTATCAAAACTTCTCCTTATCAGAATTGCACGAGACTTCCGTTAAGATGGGGAAGCATGTCCAGCTCAACTTCTCTACCAGTAAAGTACGGTGAAGTAGTTGAGAACTTAACCTGCTTGGATCCAATTCATACTAACAAGGGAGCACAGTCAGTAACCTGTGTTGGAGATAACATGTTCATAATGCCAACAGATATTGATATACCTAGCTGCCCTAAAGGTTTGGAGAGTTTAGATTAAACTTGTGTTATTTTCGGAGTATGTTTTGATTTTTACCTCTTTGATTTCAGAAAATTTAACTTCAATGTTTAAAATCTCAGAAATATTATTTATTATCCAGGCATAAAACGTGCAGTATCTGCCACACAAAGCAGTACATACCAGACAGAAGAAGAAGAGAACAAACATATAGCTCACAAAGCAGAATTTTGTTGTGATGGCAACTTAAAATCCCTTCGTGGTCAGAAACAAGTCGTAAGTACCCAAGGCAGAGCCTGTAACCGTCCCAAGCCAGCACTCAGCAGTAATTTGAGAATTCGGAATTCACATTGCTTCAACCTGATACTGCTGAAACTTGCTTCGACTATAAATTATTGAAAAAAGCGCCAACAATATTATCATTTATTTTCAGATGATAGCATTAACAGTCGCAGCCCAGAATTCCTGAATATGGACTACGGTGCGACATTACACTATAAAAGCATCACATTTGTGTTGATGAACAAGGAATCCTACCAATGGGCCAAACAGTATATGATTAATTTCATGGATGGAACAAAGATAACCCTGCTGGATTATGAAGATAACGAGATATTTGTAGCGAGTGAAAGGTTGACTGTAAAGACAAAGACAGACACAATAGCAGATCAAACCTACAGGATAGAGTTAGGAGGACAGATGGGAAGAAAAGTCAAATTTCAAACAGACGAGATTAACCCTGCTGGAAGATGCATATTGGTGGTAGAATCTTGGGCAGAGGTCGAAGAGAAGACAGATTATGGTTGGTAAATTGTTTATAAATGTCATAACTTCGAGGCATAATTATACAGGGTCACAAAAGGAATACACAGGATATCAGGTCATGCTTCACAAGGGGAACAACCAGGAAGGTAAAATTTAAAGGTATAGCTGAGAAAGTGAGAACAAAATAAAAATTGTATTATTTGACCAAAACCCATAATCATGGGTAGAGTGGACCGCTGCCAGTGTCTCTCTTTCCCAAACAAAAGGAAATGATATTAATTTGATTGACCGTTCTCAAATGCAAAATGATACCGAGAATGAAATCGGTCGCTCGCTTTTCCCATTCATTCACGGCTTACGAATTGTAATAAGTTTCGATTGATTAGGTACATCAATCAGATGCTGTAAAAATCTCTTTGGGTTGCGTTCGGGTCGATACCTAGTATTTCGGGGTAAGGGTGGTAGTTATTACTTATTGAATTAGCTGAAGTTTATTGAATCTTTATTGCTGAGTACAGCTGCCTTTGGGTAGTTCTTCTTAATCTATTACAATTGTAAATGAATGGGAAAAGCGAGCGACCGATTTCATTCTCGGTATCATTTTGCATTTGAGAACGGTCAATCAAATTAATATCATTTCCTTTTGTTTGGGAAAGAGAGACACTGGCAGCGGTCCACTCTACCCATGATTATGGGTTTTGGTCAAATATCATCTCTTTTTGATTATAATGTCACTGTCAGGGTACTTTATAAAGTCGAAATATAAACTGATATCTTCATTAATAAGGAGGAAGTTTCAACAATTTCGAAATTTTTCCTTTAAAAACATTTCCTTGTGTTTAGGTAAGCATATCGGTCGATCACTGACTGAATATGCCACTTAATACTCATTCAAGTTGGCATTAAATTCATTTATAATGACATTAAACTGTCGTGGCAAAGCAGAATTTGTTGGAAATCACAAATGAGCAAAATTCTCACCTTTCGCACGTGCAAACTTTGAGCGGACGTTGCGTGCGCATCCAATATTGAATCGCCGTAAAATTTTGCATGTAACTGTTGTATATATAGCTTGATAAGCATGCAAAGTTTCAAAGTATTTCAAGAAGAACTGTTATCACAACGGCACTCTAAAGTTGACAGAAAATGACGAAAACAGCAATTTTCAGTGATTTTAGCAATTTTCTATCAATTTGGGCGTATCCCCACGTGTGCAACTTTTCGATTTTTAACTTTAAAACTAGCCTAATGCACAATTTATATCTATAGGAAGCAGAACTGAGCTCCACAACCCAAGGCATGGCCCAACACCAGAGAATACTAAATCGCAAAATTGACGTTTTTATAAAATAATTCTTCAAAAAAGCACAAACTTCAAGGACGAATATCTTTATGAAGGAGCAAGCTAGAAAAACTTTCCGGTAGATTTTCAGAATGCTTGAACAATTATCTAAGATGAAAATATCCTCAGATTTTGAATAAAATTACTTTTTAATGGTGTAAAATCATTTTTAAAAGTTATTACTTTGTCAAAAATCAAGTTTTAAAAACGGTTTACTTGATGACGTCATCAAGGGGTGTTCATGACGTCAAATAATTTGTTTATACAATGTAAACTAAAGTGTAAACAATTATTTTCAAGACCTGTGGTCGGAAATGGCTGTATCTTTTATACTTTTGAATCTATGGACAATTAAATAGATTGTTCTGATGTTGATCTGTTCAAAACATTATTAAAAACTCACCTGTTTAAGAAAAGTTATGGCATGAGCGATTAATTGACAATATAACTTTATGTTATTTGCTTAAACTGTTTAGGATGCAACCTAATGTCATGATCTTTTTGAACTTATTAGCAATTAGACTGTTAGCTCGCTTCATAAGCATGTCATCTTCGTTCCAAAACTTTTTATGTCCTATGCATACACTCCTTGATAGTTATCTTGATCTAGTATCTTTGTTTCACACAATAGAGCATAAGTTTTGTGGTTTATCCACTGGGCTTAGAGTTTGTGTTTAAGCTACCAAATTTTATTATTATTATTAAATACAGGCTACAATTGACTGGCAAAGCGTCTATCCCTGAATATATATGTATATATGTATATATGTATATATATAGATAGATATAACGACAATCTGTCGTAAAACAGGGGTTCTAGAAAACCCACTTCCCGATGTTCCTGAAACCTGAAACTTTTTTTGCAGTTGATTTGGTCAACGTCTAGACGCCCTGAAAAATTTCAGATCTCTAACTCGATTTTAACATGGTTTTTAAGGCACCTGAATATGGCGATTTTGGGTTTTTTACCGAATTTCGTATAACAGTGCTGGCGAGTATTTTATGCAAATTTCTTAAAAATCTCAACATAACTATTCTTTATTCCTGTCATCTTTGACATCAAATTAGAATGTTTTGAACTAAAAATAAATCTGCTGAACGACTTCCGATGAGTCTTAATGCCTGAAAAACTCCTGCCGGAGGCGGAGTGCACGCTTCGCGTGCACGAAAGAGGCTTGTAACGTGTACCAAAGGGGGTATAATAGTAAAGGGGGTATAATAGTAAAGGGGGTACATAGTATACCCACAATAAATGCACCGGTCGTGCTTGCCAGCACTGTGAAAGATGAAAAACTTAACAAAGATATCGAGTAAAATGAAATTACGAAAACAAACAATTAACACACGAGGAACTTATTTACCTTGTGTTTGACTAAATCGCAAATTAGGGCCATCACATCCTCGGCCAAATCCTTCAAAGCTTCTGCCTCCTTGACATTAGCCACCGCCCACACACACTTAATAGCTATCTGCTTATTGTACGAGGATAATCTTGTAGATTTAACCATCAGCTCCACTGTGGTCTTAACGTTCATATGCCTGAGTGATTGTTTGTTGTAATGGTATTATATCGAACAAAATGTACATTGTATAAACAGCTCTCAGGCGTCTCATCTTCATATTATTTTTAAAGAAATATCAAAAGATGCAGATATTTTATTTAACAAAATAGAGATGTTTTAAGTTAGTGTTTAATAGGCTGCTGACCTGGCAAGTTGTGGTCTAGCGACACAGTAACCGATAGCAAGGACAACAGCACATCTTAACTCCATGTCAGGAGCCATGACGTCACTTTTGAAGTGCTTGTCAAAGTCCACGCTCTTAAGTACTGTTTCCAGATAGTCACGCAACGGACTCTCGTTGTTTGCAATGCTGAAGAAAAAGTTAAAGTTTTGAAACTTAAATTAATAATGTTATACTGTGTGCTCATAATGCATTTAGTGAACACTGTTCTTTTACCTTTTAATATTATAATCTACATTAGCGATTATATAATGCTAGGGATTTTAAAATATGCCATTTTCAGGGAATTTCATCTTTAACCTAAAGTTACAGAGATTTTACGGTGCTTTTGTTATCGAAGTGGATGAGCAGCCTGCTAGTCTCAACAACCGAAAAAATATGCGAGGATTCAAGTTGCAGTACTACGAGGAGGTAATCACAACATACGACGACTCACACGCGGCACCATGACGACGACTCAAACGCGGCACCATGACGACGACTCACACGCGGCACCATGACGACGTACCACGTGACTTGTCAGCTCTTATAAGTACGGATTTGTTTTTTACTCAGTGAGTTTTATGAAATAATTTTAAATCGTACTTAGCGACATGTTTCCAGAACTCCTTGTGTTTCGCAGTAGGTGCCTGATGCAGATCAGCCACCAGCTGTTGGAAGACGGTCTCTGATATCATTAGGACGAGATTCTTGTTATCATGATATCAAGAAATGCATCTAGTGATGCGATACAGAATCACATCTAAGCTGAGCAATAAGTTGAGAGTTAAATAATTATACAGATTGTTATTACCGCAATTATTGAACATTTTATAATTTTAGGAACTAAAAGATTCCTAACCTATGAGTATTGCTGAAAGCACAATGTAAGGCACAATGTAACATAGTTTAAGTAGATTTAACGACACAATGATTAATGAGATGTGTTTGAAGATGTTTTACGTTTTGATTAATATGAAAAAAGCTAGTAAATTTATGTTTATTGAGCATTATATAATATTAACAAAAATTGATATACAGCAAGTTTCACAATTACAAATACATGTATCAATTTGATAAAACACCCAAACTTGGAAATTTTTAGGTAGTTTGAAAACATTCATATTTTCTGTCAAAAATTTAAGGAACGTGCACCATGGGGCTAGTCCCTGGCGTTTTCTAATTGTTGCACTGATTCTATCTTCAACAGAAGATGTCCTACTCATTACACAATTTGCTATAACTAAACAAAGAAAAAAAATTAAATATTACTAAGAAATAAATTTGATAACAGTTTATGAAATCTTAGAACTAAGCACAATAACAAGTTATTTCCGACAGTTTGTAGTTGGCAGTTTGTCGTATTATGGTATTGTAGTCATGAAGTTTTCTTAACAAAAGAAAATGTGACATTAGGATCAGATTGATGGGAATGTTGCCAACTCATAAGTTCCATTATTCCATGATTGAAAGAAACTTCTTCTTCATCTTCCAGTGCCATGTTCTCCTTTTCCTGATCCCCTGATTTTTCGGCTTTTGCCTCAGATGGTCTGCAAGAATTAAACATTAAAAATATGTTTTATGTAAAAAATAGCAATTAAATACCTTGTTAGAACTTGGATCAAAGCAAATATTTTTGAAACGGGTAACTTCCGGTTTATAACGAAAAATAGGCACAACTCAGAACACCATACTTTGTAATTTAGATAAAATTGTATTGTTTACTAACCTGTAGTTACCATGGCAATCACACTTGAGAAGCCGGTGTGTAGTAGACACAGTCTCAAAGTCATAAGAGAAGATATCTTTCAGATCAGCTTGAGTAAAACTACATTGTTCCTCACCATTATCAACCACACAAGTGCTCAGACCTTGCTTCCTTATCTGAGAAATTATAAAACTGAGAACATGGTATTTCAAACTAGTGCAAGTTGTAACCATGTTATTAAATAAGGCCTTAAGTTATTTTGATTAAAAACCAAAGAATCAAAGAGGAGAACGTCTAGTTTTAATTACCTGTCGTTGGAAGATTTTCTCCTCGATTGTTCCAGTAGTCAAAAGTCTATAAATAGTAACATTCTTCCTTTGTCCATCCCTCCAAACCCTGGCCATAGCTTGCTGGTCATTTGCAGGGTTCCAGTCGATATCATAGAGTATAACAACATTCCCACCAATCAGGTTCAGACCAACTCCACCTGCTTTACTGCTCAGCAGAAACACCATCCTCCTACAAAGTGCAAGTGAGATTGTTACATTATTAGATTACTAGTGGATCTGTATTATCTACCGTTAAAATAATGATCTGCAGCCCAAGAGACAGTGAAAATTTAGAGATTGGGAAAATGAGGCATGTTCATGATAAGTGATAACACGCTTTGCGAAGAATTTAAGTGTTAAATAAACTAACTTGTCGTGCTTGGAGTTGAAGAGATCGACCATGTTTTGTCGTTTAGATTGAGGCGTTTTACCGTCCAGTCTGTGATATTCCAGTCCCAGACTATCACAAAGGTATCCAAGCACGTCTAGCGTCTGAAATGAACAAGCTCAATATCATCATTAAATAAAAAGGAAATGTAATTAACGATGACGTAAGCTTTGGTCAACTACATGAAACGCTACATCATGTAGCGGCTACATGACACAGAAAGAGCTCTACAGTTGGACACCTCTTACCTGGGTATAGTTTGAGACCAAGACAACCTTGTTCCCCAGTTTGGTCTGCTTGATGATAAGAGTTGATGTAACAATTAGTTTACTGCTGTCAGATACCTTCACATCTTTAACTCCTTCTAGTTCTTCTTCAACCAAACAAGGGTGGTTACATAGCTTCTTTAACGTGCAAATCAGCTGAATAGTCGGGGTGAAGATTATTTATTGAGAAGAAATAGAGACTGAATATTTTAAAAATAGTATAAAACTAAGTACTAATTAGACTCGTGCTATAGCTTATATTAACTTAATGTTATTTTCATGGTATTCAAACATGGGAATGTTTTAACAGTACCTTCAGAATATCCGAGCTGGCAATTCCGTGTAAGTAGGTTTTGTTAAGTGTATCCATGTATTTTTCCTGCAAGGAGGCACTAGCTCTGCAGAATAGGATACATTCTTCTTTTGGAGGAAGGTACTTTTCATTTATTTTACTCGATCTGAAATTAGTTGGATATTATTGTATGGAAAATTTTAGTCTGTACAAAATTTTAGAGATGTCATGACAAAGTTTTAGAGAAGTATATAAATTCGAGTCTCTAGCTGTTTTATAATGTGAAATTCTTGTGAGGATTTAGAGATTCTAACATTGAATAAAACATACCGCCTGAGAATGAATTTGGATGTTATCTTAGAGAGTTCTGCAGAGCGACTTTTGCCAAGTGAAACCTCACTATTGCTAGCTGTCGGTAAAAGGGATGTTTGAATCGGGTCTGCGTAAACATTGTTGAATGCTCTGGGACCGCCGAGGATTCCAGGATTTACAAATGAGGCCAAGGTGTAGAACTCCTGGAAATTGAGATGGTAATATTAATAAGTTGTTTCTAAATAATGTTGGTAAGTTTAACATGATAATTATTATTGGTCGTACTAACAACTCATAAACACATTTTAACAAAAATCCACAACTCAAATGCCTGTAATTGACTGTTATACTACACATGACAGAACAGTTTTACCTTTAAGTTATTCTGAACTGGAGTGCCTGTCAAAACCACCCGACGTTTACAAGGCAACTGACAGAGAGCTTCTCCAATTTTAGCAGCCACGTTCTTCAGCCTGTGCCCTTCATCACAAACTATAAGACCCCAGTCTATCTTCAATATCTCTGATATACTCTTCCTAAACTTTTCGTAACTGATGACCAACACAGAGTACAGTGGGGAAGCAGCAAAATCCTGAACATTGCTCTCACCAGCCGTTAAACCCCACACTTTCACTCTCTCCTCTCCAAGCCATTTCTTAAACTCATTCCTCCAATTTGTTACCAGAGAGCTTGGTGTGATAACAAGGCATTTCTTGCAGATTGGTATTCCCAAAGGGCCTTGTTTCAGTAACGTCCAAACAAGTCCAATGCATTGCAGTGTCTTCCCTAAACCCATGTCATCAGCAAGAATAGCTCCAGAACCAGCTGTATCCTGCCCCATGACACATTGAAATAAAAATCGTACACCCTCAATTTGATGAGGTCTCATCTTCTCAGCCAAATATGGATCTAAAACAATAGCCACTGCTTTTTCTGTTTCTTTTGATAACACAATGGCAGTTGGACAGTTTGGATCATAGCGAGAGGTAGGTTTTTGTTTTGTTGATCCTTGAATTGAGGAGTTGCTCAATTTTTGAGGGCACATAAATCCTTTCGAACTACTTGATTGCTTGATCTTTGTTAATGGTACTGAAGAAAGAGTAGAAAAACATGTTCCAGCATTAAAGGTATCAGCAGAAATTTCCTCATCAACCATTACTTCTTTGCCCCCAATAATTAGAGTTGATCCATTAGTGATGGCCTCTAAATCAACCTTTTTACACTGAGACTTCTTGCCAAGAAACTTATTGTCCTCATCGCGAAGTTCTGCCGAGGATGCCCCAACAATAAGGACCCCGTCACCATCCCAGGTTTTATGCTTCTTTTTTGAAAATCTGACAAGGGTAAAATAATATCTTATAACTTCTAACATAACTAATATCTTAAAGTTTTGACTGCATGAAATAGCCAAAAATAGCCCACATATTGAGCTTGTGATTCCATTTTAATTCCATTACTTTAATGAGTTCACATTAATCACAATGTCTTGCAATCAACACAGATATTGACAATATATAACAACTTACTTTGTGAACATAGCCTTGTAAAATTTCTTGGTTTCTGAGCTTGAACATGAGTCATTGCTTTTGACAGTAAGAGGCTCTGATTTGAAACTAGGAGCAAATTTTTTCACTAAGGAAGCAGATGGTGTTGATCTTGAGGGTGGTTTTAGGTTTTTTGTATGATTGATAACTTCAGTTGTTTCCACGATAGGAGCTTGAAACTTGGTAACAGGAATTGGTTGAGTTGACTGCTGCTTATTAGTTTCTGTGTTCTCCTTATCACAGGTGGGAGCATTGAGGTAGACCTCAGCATCTTTAAGCTCCCGCAATGGCAACTGAATAGGGCTGGATTTCTTGCTGTTGGATAACATTGGGCTGCTGAATTTGATTCGCTTCCCTGGCCCTCCATTCTTGAAGGAAGGGGCGGCGGATCTGCGCATAATCAGGCATTGGCTGTAGATATTTCAGCAATGTTAGTTATATTAATAAACTAATTTTTACACCACAATTATAAAACTAATTATTTGAGTGATTTCATCTGGAAGTATTTTGCTCACACGACTCTACAATAAGCAAATTCAGTTAAATCATTAATTCATGAGCCTATTGAACACAAGTTCGTGCAACGAGTCTAATGGTTATTCTCCTAAATAAATCAAATACCTTTTTGTTTAATGCAGCCAAGCTTTGGAACGCTGTTCATAAAAAAATTTTAACTTCAAGCAATTGCTTAGAAACGTCCATTAGCTTGATAAAACTGAGAACCAAAGCAATATTAATACAAGCACAGGCAGCTGACTTAAAAGATACTTGGACTCCAAACAATTTTAAATTGCAGTAATCAAATCTAATTGCAGCGGCACACACTTACTATTACTATCATGATTGTACTATAGACAGAAAATCTTTCAAATCGATTTTGGGCGCTTTTTAAACATTTGTTGTAATGTTTTTAGATAAGTTAAATATCTAAATTTATAAAAATTTTTATCGGAATGAATTAATTGATATTTAATAATTTATTCGGTAGGTTTATCTGGTATTGATATTGATTATATTGATATTGTTATTATTGAACGAAGCTAACTCTAGACATAGTTAATACTACTTCTTTTAAGAAAGGGACTTGGAGTATAAACGACCAAGTTTGCATAAATTTCTACCCAACCAAGAACTCAGGAGGCAAAGGTGGGTGCGTAAACTTTTGGTCTTTTTTTTTTTTTTTTTTTTTTTGTCGATGGGCGCTCACTCTACCTCCCCGGGTATGCGGGGAGGTTACGTCCGCCTTGTGGCTAACGTCTCTTGGAGCTCCTTTGGTTGCGGAGGTGTACCGAAAGCTCGGCTGGGATGGGGACTCGCTGAGCCGGCACGAACCAAATAGACATAACATGTTGCTGTTATGACCCGGTGGAACGGCGATACCCCTAAGAGTGTCTGCCATATGTTCTGTCATCGGGGGACTTTCTGAGTCCATAGAAAGTCAACTGTCGAAACAGCCTCCCGGAAAATTGGGTTTGATAATGCGAGAAACTTCCACTTCCACTGTTATCTGGCTAACAGCTCCGCTAGGTGTTTCTCGATATTTACTGTGCTTTGTTTGTTGTTTTGCTGCGCGCGTCTTTTGCGCTCACGCATTTTGAGTGATTGCGCGCTTTTTGAGGTCCTTTGTATATGGTTAATGCGCTTGAACTAGCAGTACTTATGCATAGTGTTTTGGAAGTTATTGACGTGGTATCATAGCCGAGAATTTTTGGTTTTTTAGTTTTGATAACATTTATTTTCTTCTTCCATTCTCCCTGTTCGGTTAATGAATTTGCAAATAGTTTTCGTGTTGAAATTTTGTATTATTTGGTTTAAGGGAATATGTGTTGATTGGAAGATTTCTTGCCTGATGCGGGAGTAAGCGGGACAATCCGCCATGAAGTGTTCCGTGGTCTCTCTTGTTCCCGGGCAGTGTTTACAGAATGGAATTACGTTCCTGTCCATCTTATTTTCATGGTGTGCTAGATGGTTCTGTCCTGAAATAATACCTGTTATGTTTTTTAGGTCTGCTTTGATGTGGTGGGCAATTTTTGGTGGTTTATCTTTAAGGTAGCTTTTGAGTAAGATTTTATTACTTATTTTTATTTTACTTTCCTGAATCGATTTTGATCTTTTGTTCAGCATTTGTGTTCCTAGTTTGTGTCTTATTATCGAGTCTGGTAAGTATAGGAATGGTTCTGGTCCTATTGGTTTACTTTCCACACCTCTTTTAGCCAATGTATCAGCTGTTTCATTGCCTAAAATTCCTATGTGGGCTCTTACTTTGTATAAAGTGACTTCTTTGTATTTTAGTTGAAGGTCTTTTATGTTGTTTAATGTTTCAATTGTTAATTTTGAGTTTGACTCAAGTTTATTTAGTCTTTGGATCGAGTTCAGGGAATCTGTGAAGATCTTTACTGAGTTGGCTTGACTGGTATCATTTTTCAGGAAGGCTGCAGCTTCACAGATGGCGTACATTTCAGCTTGGTTGATGGTCGCCAAAGTGCCTAGTGAGCAGTGTTTAAGCAATAGATCAGTTTGTTCTTTGCGAATGTATATGCCCGCTCCTGCTTGTTTTCCTTCTTTAGTGTCTATGACTGATCCATCTGTGAATATTTGAATCGTGTTCTCTTCTGGCTCGCATAGTTTTGGGTCGTTGATTTCCTCTTCTGATATGGTGAAACTTCTTACGATGTTTTGTGGTTGAGTTTGTTCATTTAGAGGACTGTCTAGATAATATTTCAGAGGTTGAATTTCTTTGTCAAGTTGTCTGGCATGTGAGATATAGGATTTCTTACATCCCAGGTTGGTGTCCGGGTACCAGCATTTGTTCGTGTATAATCTTAATGCTGTTTTTGTTGCGATGTTATGTAATTTAATTTCAATAGGCATAATGCCTGAAACTTTTGGTCTGCACTCTCCGATCCTGTATCACCCTTGATTCTTCTCGACGTATCTTTGTAAAAGTTATATATACCTTTTAATCAATCTCTTGCTACTCCAAGTCCCCTAAGATATCTGATCTAAAGTTCGTGCTAGTTATATATATATGAAATATATTTTTGTCTGCTTTAATTGATACTAAATAAAATTGTTGTTTTCTTGAAATTGTTGTTTTCTTTCTAGGATATCATTACAATCAAATTGAGAAAAATTTGCAAATTTAGTTAAAATAAATAAAGATATATGAAGGAGAAAAGAAATTGCATTGATTCCCTGTTCATCTAAGGTCAACAGATCAATCAACATAATCAAATTTAAATAATAATGTCACATACGACATCGTAAATATTTGTCATGAATTGAACTAAAATGATAGGTACAAAGACACATTAGTGAGTCAACGACATCAGACATAAGAACTCAGAACTGCAGCCTCGTAACCAATTCGTGGACAATTGCTTAAATAACGTTTTACTAAAACGTGGTAGGAAATGTCATATATCCTTTTCTCTAAATTTCCTAAATTATGATATACCCAGTGGCGTAACGCTGCCCCAGCCACTCCGGCTACGCCAGGGGGCGCCACCCTCAGGGGGCGCCAAAAAGGCGCCCTTTCTCAACGAAAAGTTGCCCCTAGGTTTTTTCTTGAATTTTATGACCTCTCACTGAAAATAACGCCTTATTGGTGTATTCCCCTGTCCAATTTAGCGCCCAGTCGGTGTGAAAAAAATTTTTGGGGCACTTTCTTTGCTCCAGGGGCGCAAAAAAGCTGTAGGGGGGCGCCAAAAAAAGGCACCCGACCTTTTTTTTTTTTTCTTTTTATTTAGGGACACAACAAATTTTAGGGGGGCAGAGTTACGCCACTGAAAATTGGGCGAATTTTTCGAGTTAAATCAGCCACTAACGTTACGCCACTGGATATACCTTTCTTTAACCCCATGTTTTCCTAAAACATGGTTGTTTTATATGACAGACTCTAGAGACCTGATAGAGCTTACGATCCTTGACGGAGCTTTCTTGGTTACTTTCCCTCAGTCAAGCGTTTCTGGTTTTAGCCCTTTACTCTTTATAGAAGTATTGTGAGTTATTAAGAAAACAAGTTTTTAGGAAAGTTCCTAGAAGCTTGAATCCACGAAATGTTGGGAAAGACTTCGGATAAGAAAGATCACGGTCTTGAAGGGTTAGTTTTAAAAAATATATTTTAAACATTAAGTCGATACTCTCATTATTATCATTGAAGTAGTGCACTGTGAATTATCACAGAACTAGAGTTTCGAGAGTCTGGATAAAACTGGCTTAGTTAAGTTAATTTCACAATAGAGTACTACTGCATACTGGAAATTGCAAATATTGTATTTCTTACCAGCTCAACTTAATATTACAACACACCTGCTAGTGCTCACAGATCCCATAAATAAAACGCACTTAATCATCAACCATTGTTGTAGTGTACCGCATCAAAAAAACGAAACGATTTAATTGTAAATCAATATCTAAAGTGTAAAGGAAAACGACTAAAATATTGTTTTACATTTGTTAGTTGTTCGCGTTCGTTATAACGATTTTTTAATTGCTCAAATTGTGAGCACCGCTTATTTAAGAAAAACAAAATTAAGAATTTAAAAAAATTTACCACAAAACAATCAATAAATATCATAAATAAATTCAAATTGAGAAATCCTTTGGTGCGGCTGTAAGCGCCGCGCGCAGGGTCTATTCGATTCTTGTTTTACAATTACATGTCACATTTATTAATTAAGAAAGCCAAAACATCTTTCGCGCAGTACATGGTACAATAATAATAATTTCACAGCTATTATAATTTGTCGGTAAATTGATTGTACACATATTATATACACACACATATAATTATACAAAAATCTAAAATTATTTTTTTATTTAATTATATACTTGAACAATAAACTTGAACAATTTCGTTTTTTTCAATTTTTTTTTTCATAAAAAAAATCGGATTTTTCAAAAAATTACTGATGTAAAGCAATTTTATAAAATTTAACTAAATTTCAAATTTAAAACCCAAATTTTGATAATTTTGATAAAATTAATTTGTGTTAAATGTTTTAACACGTTATAAATTCTACAGCACAGTCAAATATTAATTGTAGTATTAAAAAAAATATGAATTGTTTTTATTATTAGGGATTATTAGGGATTCATAAATAATATTTTTAGTTGAATCGCGCCGCGCACCTTTGGACAATCCTTGAGCGCATAACAGGAATCGAGCGCTATTACGAAATTTTGGTTTTACCTTCCCTGAATCGTTGCTATCAAAGTGTTTCGATTATGTTCAAATACACCTAGTAACTGATTTCTCTCCGTGGAGACAGAGGTGCGAGAAAAAAAATTTGAACTTGCTAAAGGAAATATTTAAAAAACCTGGGAATTGATTAACGAACTCAGGGGTAAATCTAAAAAAGATATAAAAGCATCATTTTTAATTGATGGTAGAATTGTAACTGAACGCCGTGAGATTGCCAACGGATT